ATAACCACAGCTCTGCTTGAGGCCATAGGGTGAGGTGACCTCATCTCTTGAAATCCTCTGATCATTGTGGCAACCAGGGTCTCAGGGGATATTAAACACAACCCCAGTCAAAACGTGTCTACAAGTTCTCAATTTTTTTATCTGTGAAATGAGCACCTTAGAATCACCCCTTGGAAGAAATACAGTTCAGAGTGGAGCCGGGCGGTGGTGGCGCATGCCTTTAATCCCAGCACTCAGGAGGCAGAGGCAGGTGGATCTCTGTGAGTTCGAGACCAGCCTGGTCTACAAGAGCTAGTTCCAGGACAGGCTCAAAAACCACAGAGAAACCCTGTCTCGAAAAACCCAAAAAAAAAAAAAAAAAAAAAAAAAACTAGCTACTGGGTTCAATTCCCAGCACCCACTTGGCAGCTCACAACTGTCTAACTGCAGTTGCAGGGGATACAACACTATCATACAGACAGACAGACTTGCAGACCAAACACCAATGTACACAAAATAAAGATAAATAAATAATTTAAAAACAAACAAACAAAATAACCCTAGCTCAATAATTTCAGGTCTCCTGGAATCTGAGTTACAAGCAATTGTGAGCCAGCATGTGGGTGCTGGAACTGCATGGGCTCTTTGCAAGAGTAAGTGCTCTAACCAGAAAGCCATCTAGCCAGCCCTGCCTTGTTCTTTAAAATAAGAATCAGAATAAAAACATTTAAAAAAAAAAGAATCAGTCAGGTGTGGTGGCACATCTTTAATCTCAGGGGTATCTCTGTGAGTTCAAGGCCAGCTTGGTTTACTTAGTGAGTTCTAGAACAGCTAGAGCTATATTAATCTGGAGAGAGAGGAGAGAGATTGAGAATCTCAGAGCTCCTGGAGCTAGAGCTATAGGTGCTTATGAGCTAACTGCCTCATGTAGGTGCTGGGATCTGAACTTGGGTTCTCAGGAAGAGTATTAGTATACATGCTTGTTTTTGCTGTTCGTTTGTTTTTTTTTGAGACAGGATTTCTCTGTGTAATAGTCCTGGCTGTCCTGGAATGGTCCTGGATCCGTTTGCCTCTGCCGCTGAGACCTTGAGTGGTGGGGTTAAAGGCAAAGGCATGAGTCACCACTCTCGGCAGCACATGGTCTTAAAAATCACAGAACCCTCTGCCCAGTCCCTGATGTTTGGTTTTGCCTCTTAGCTTGGAGGGGTGTAGAATCTCCTTGGAGACTCACCTTGAGGTGTTTCTGGCAGAGTGTTCAGTCTTAACTGGGTGAATGATTTGCCCTCAGAGCTACTAACACCTTCTGAACGGTGGCCCAGATATAAAGATGTCTAAGGGAAAAGCAGTGATGCCTGCCGTGGCTTCTTCCTTCTGAGGATTGTTGACCACCACCACCATCCTCTGCTGACATTGAACACCAGCTTCTTCTGCCTTCCAAGTGGACTAAATGAATACTAATGACTCTCCAGACAGCTTCCGGGTCTTCCAACAGTGAGGCATCCAACTTTTGTGGACCAAGTAGCTACAAAGTTCTCAGCCTCTCTAACAGACAGATGGACACTGTTGGAATGCCCAACCCTTATCCTGTAAGCCAATCTAGCAAATCCCCTTATAATGTGTATACACGGTTATTGGTTCCGTTCCTTTAGCTCACCTGGACTAATGCAGCTGTCATTCACGAATACATGCTCTTCTTCCCACCAAGCAGATGTCAAGATCTATAAACGTTATTTCCCAAAGAAACTCTCCAAGTCACCCCCTCCTACTTATGGGGTCACTGTTCTTTATTTCACCTCTCCCTTGAAGGAACAATCACCTCTGAGTTTCCTCTCCAACCTTCCCTTTCCACTTTCGATCTTATCAAGAACAAACTTCTACTGGGTGTGATGGTTCTCCCCTGTGAGCACTGGGAGGTGGAGGCTGTGAATTCAAGGTCAGCCTGGGGTACTGTGCAAGGTTCTGCCACCAGTAAGTAAACAAACAAACAAGAAAAAAAAGTCAGTAAGTCACTCTCAGCAGGTAAAGTTGTGTAGCCCAACAAATCAGACCCTCCTGACCATGCAATCCACCACTAATGGGGATCCTAAGGACCTGGGACTTCCTCTTGGCATTTAGCTCACACCTAACTGCTGGTCTATTTAAAATATAGTTCTTGGGGCTAAAGAGATGGTACAGCAGTTAAAAGCACTTGCTGCTCTTGCAGAGGACACACGCTGGTGCCCAATACCAACATGGTGGCTAACAAGAGTCTATAACCCTGATACTAGGGAATCTGATACCCTCTTCTGACCTCAGCAGGCAATAGATATTTACATGGCACATAGACATACATGCAAGCAAAATACTCATATACATAAAACAAATACATCTGAACTTTAAAAACACAATTCAGCTGGGCATGGGGGTGAATGCCTTTAGTCTCATCACTCAGGAAACAGAAACAAATAGATCTTTGTAAGTTTGAGGCCAACATAGTCTAAATAGCAAGTTCCAGGCCAGCTAGAGCTACATAGTGAGATCCTGTCTCAAAAGAAAGCAGACCATAACACCAAAAAAAAATTTGAATGAGAATAGCCCATAGGCTCCCATATTTGAATGCTTAGTCACCAGGGAGTAGAAAGAACTGTTTGAAAGGATTAGAAGGATTAAGAGGTGTGGCCTTGTTGGAATAAGTGTAGCCTTATTGGAGGAAGTGTGTCACTCAGGGTAGGGTCTGAGGTTTCAAAAGTCCACACCAGGCCCAGTCTCTCTCTGCCTACTGCCCATGTATCATAATACAAAGTTCTTAGCTGTTGCTCCAGCACCATGCATGCAGCTATGCTCCCCACCATGATAATAATGGACTAACCTCTGAAACACTAAGACCCAGTTAAAGGCTTACTTTTTTATAAGAGTTGCCTTGGTCATGGTGTCTCTTCACAGAAATAGATCAATGACTAATACGATACATACACACACACACACACACACACACACATTTTTTGAGTCAGAGTCTCACTAGGTGTTCCAAGCTGGCCTCAAACCAAGCTACATCAACTTTCCCAGTGTTGGAATTGTATGCCACCATGCTAGGTGCCAAACCGGGGTTCTTTTTCTTTCTCCTCTCTGTACCTCTGTTTCAATATCCTTTTCCCAGGAGTGTCACCTCCATCTACTCATAGCATAAGCCTTCTGCACTCAGGTCTCCTAGGAATTACTTCCATCTGGGGACCCTTTCCATCCTCCCCCAGAACTCAGTGTGCCCATTCTGGATTAGGTAGCTCTTCTTGGGGGTTCCTGTAGCATCCCACAAACCTCTCTTATATTTCAAGGAGTACTCTGTACCATGAATGCTGGTCTACGATTCTTTCAGACAAGAGCTCTTGGCTAACAAGGCCTCAGAGTTGTGCCATGATTATATTCTCAGGCCTGAGCGGACCTGGCTGATCTTGTGTTAACTGAGCCAGTCCCTTGGATGCTTAAATACCTTCTTCGGCTTCTGTTTACCCTGAAGGGAAAGAAGAAAGTTCCTTTCTTTTTAGACAGGGTTTCTTGAGTAGCTCAGGCTAGCCTGGAGTGGACTATTTCTTTTTCTTTATATTTTACTTACTATCTGTTTTTAATTGTGTATATGTGTTATTTTTAATATTGTGTGTGTGTTTGTGTGTACATGCTCATCCCTGGAGCCCGGAAGCATCAAATCCCCTGGAGCTGGAGTTATAGGCAGTTGGGAGCCACCCAGTGTGGATGCTGGGAAGCAGACTGAGTCTTCTTCAAGAACAGCACTCACTCTCAACCACTGAGTTCTCTCTCTCTCTCTCTCTCTCTCTCTCTCTCTCTCTCTCTCTCTCACACACACACACACACACACACACACACACACACAGAAAGACCTTTTAAGTCTTTACCACAATCTCTCTTTGCTTCACTCCCTTTATGCTGCGCCCTTTTTGGTGGTCACCTTGACCTTCTTCACTGCCCTGAACCTGCATCTGCTCTGTGTTTCTGCATGGCCCTTGTCTCTGCAAGTTCTTCAGGTTTTCTCTGCCAAATCCCATGAAAATAAGAACCAACTAGTTAGCCGGGTGGTGGTGGCGGCGGCGGCGGCGGCGCACGCACGCCTTTAATCCCAGCATTTGGGAGGCAGTGGCAGGTGTATCTCTGTGAGTTCGAGACCAGCCTGGTCTACAAGAGCTAGTTCCAGGACAGGCTCCAAAACCGCAGAGAAACCCTGTCTCGAAAAACCAAAAAAAAAAAAAAAAAGAAAGAAAAAGAAAAAAAGAACCAACTAGTCTTGCTCATGCTCTGTCTGTACTACCTAACACACTAACATATAACAAACACTCAATACATTGAATAAACCATGTAATCAAGACCCCCCAAAACCTCTCTCTGTCTTTAGGCCACCCCAGCTAATGCATTTTTTTTTTTTGTTTTGCTTCTTATTTTGTCTCCTTTTTTGAGACAGGGTCCTATCTAGCCTAGAACGGCCACAAACTTCCGATGTAGTAAGTATGACCTTGAATTTCTGATCTTCCTGCCTCTAATTCCCCAGTGCTGACACCAGACAAGGCGCCAGGCCTGGTGTATGTGGTGTTGGGGATAGAACCCTGGGTCTCCTGCATGCCAGGCAAGCACTCTGCCATCTGAGCTTCTACTCCATGCTGTGGTCTAAATAACTAGGAAGAGGATATCGGGGTAGGGCATGGGGCAGGGGAGCCCTCATCCCAATCTTTAGCCCAAACTACAGGGAGGAAGAGAAGAAAGGTCAGGAGTGGGGCCCTTCTAGAAGGAGCGAATGCCCTCTGGGGTCTCAGGGCATTGCAGGCTATCTGCTCAGTGGTAAAACTTTCTCCAGGTGGTGTCATCCTCCCTACCTCCAACTCTACATTCTTCCTGGCCACATGGCCCAGTGGCGGCTGCTCCCGGTGTCCCTCTACCCCTTGCCCCACCATAAGCAAAGGCAGGAAGGTGGAGAAGGCAGTTGGAGGACAGGGTGGGAAGCAGGATTGAGAATGGACTCAGTGTGTATTTTTTTTTCTTCAGCATCTTTATTCATTTTATGTCTAAGAGGAGGTAAACGTTGGTCGCCTGGGTGTCCCAGCACACTAGGGCCTGGCTGACGAGGGACAGGAAGAAAGGGGCGGATGTTCTGGGCCATCAGCTTAGCACACAAGTGCCTCTCTCCTTGAAGGGATTCTTGTCTTCTGGGACGCCTTGGAGAAGAGGGTCAGCCCCTGCTTGGGCCTGAACATAATCCTTGATTTCCTTTCCTGTCTTGGAAATCTGTAAGATGACAAAACATGGTCACAGCTCTTGTTTGTGTCTCATAATCTACGACTCGGCGATCTTAGAAAAATGGTAAGGTAGGGCTGAGGTCAAAGAGGAAGAAGCTGGCAGAGAAAGGCGGGCAGAAGGGCGAGTCCCTTGCCGGGATGCCTGGCCAGCACAGCCTGGAGACAGGGCTGGACACACTGGGCTCCCCAGAGCTCTCAGCCTCTCCTCTGTGCCCAGGAATGTGAAGGGGACCCCCCAGCTGTCTTCTAGATCCCACCCCAGTCCAGAGATAAGTCCCGGGCCTAGCGTCTCCTCTGCATTCCCAACAGAGAGAGAGAAAGAAGGGGAGAGGAGGCGTGACTGGAGGCTCACCAGATCGCGAGGGTTCTTCACTTCCTTCTTCAGCTGCTCCACCTCCATCCTCAGCAGCTCTTTCTCACTGAGATCCTGGGCCATCCTGCCCTCGAGGGAGAGCTGTGCCCTGACAGGATCCGGCAGTCATCAGCACTTCCCCTCCAGGCTTCCAGTTCCACACTCTTCCTGACCACACCCCCCAATCAAGGCCCCTCATTGGCTAACATTTCCCTCCACCCTTTGTTCTGTCTAAACAAAGGCTTAGAAGAAGTGACCAGTCAGATAGGGATAGCTCAGTCTTTGCCCTTGGAAAAGAACTTTTCTAAGGAGGAAACAGAAAAGGAAGGGGAAAATGGAGTTTAAGTGGGGAAATTTGGGGCGAAGAGTGAACAGGTAGGTGATGCTCAGTCTCTAGTTCTGACAAGGGACAGTCAGTATGCCTCACATTAAGACTATGGGTCCAGCCAGAGGCCAGCTATGACCCCCAGCTCTGCTGCTCCCTCCTAGTATGACCTAAGACAGGTCACTTGGCTTTTCTGAATCTTAGTTTCCCCATCAACAAAGGAGTACGTAATAGTAATGTTGCTTTTATTCTTTTGAGACAGTGTCTCGTGTAGCCCAGGCTGGCCTCAAACTCTCTCTGTAGCTGAGGTTGACTTTGAACTCCTGATCCTTCTGCCTCGACCTCCTGAGTTCTGGGATTTCAGCAAGCACCACAGCACCTGGAGTGTGTGCTGCTGAGACTGGAACCTGGCTTCAAGCATGCTAGGCAAGAATCCTATCAACTGATCTACACCCCTGACCCCACTGTTACTGTGAGAACTAAGGAGACAATGCATGGCGGTTGCTGGAGAGATGGCTCGCCATGTTGGAGCACTTATTGCCGTTGCAGAGGACGAGGATTCCCAGCACCCACCTGGTGGCTCACAACCATCCACAGCCCTAGTTCCAGGGGACCCAACGCCCGCTTCTGACCTCTGTAAGAACCAGGCATGCATGTGACACACACATATACATATACACATGCAGACAAAACACTCATACACATGAAGTAAATGAGAAAACAATGCACGGGAATCATTGTCACACTGTCTGGTACATACTGGCCAGGGCACATTTCCTATTTTTATTTCTGACAATGGTATCATTGCCATCATCACGCCATGGTAACCCAGGAGAATCAGCCTGGTGCTTAACCTTAGTTAACTAAGACTAGATCCCAGACCGGTGCCCCCAAAGCCTCCTTACCTGTTAGCACTCTCTCCAAATCACCAGTCCAGGACCAGACGCGATGGTGTTTGAACCTCCTAGTGCCTCATCAGCTGAAAATCTTCAGATAAAGCAGATGGTCAGCCAAGCCTAATCGCTAATGCCTAAGCTGATCATGGGCTCAGGGGGGGTAAGTCCTGATCCGCCCAGTTCTTCACTCTTCCACCGTAGACACTGGCGGTCCATCCACAAAGTGAAAAACAGGCCACTCCATTGTAGGCCCTGGACCGCACCAGCGGCTCTCCTTTGGTGACTCCCGCCATGCCATGCCCGCCTCACAGCCTCCCTCCACATGCTCCTATTGCCTGCCTTTCTCCATCACAGAGCCTGCTCCAAGCCTGTTCCTCCCCAAATGGATCCAGAAGCTCTGTGTCTTCCATTAGGGGGTTCCATAATTTCACCTTACAAGGGTCTGTGGGCTCAGTCTTCATTCACTCCGTAAAATCATACCCTCACCTCCAATGCTCACTGTTTGATTCCAGGGCCTGTATCACCCTGATGCCATGTCCTGTCTTCTAGGCCTCAAGCCCTCCCTGGTGTGCGTGCTGGGCTCCCTTGTCTTCAGCTCCCAACACTCACCGACAACCTGCTCTTCCCCTCTGCCTCTCCCAGGGCTACCTGACAACTGTGACGCTTATCAGAGCCAAGCTCCTGCTCTGGCTGACATTTGTCCAATAGCAAGGGATCTCTTGAGGGAATGTAAGGAACCAATGTGGTCAGTGTGAGGGTTCCTCTTCTGGTGGGAGGATGACAAACTGGGAGAGGGAGGGGCCGTAAGAGGCCATCTTTGCCTCAGGATCAAGTCCCACTCACAGCTGGGCGCCCCAAGAATTCAAGTTTAGGACAGAACATCAACCCATCCAACGCCTCGTTAATACAACGAGCCCCACTCAGCACTCTGTCCACCAGTGATGCCTCAGATCCTATACATCCATCTAGATGGTATTATCCCACATCCAGGGCCTCCCTGTCGCTCATCTGAGTCCCTCATACTTCTCATTGGGTCCATTTCATCTTCTACCCACACCAGGCACAAAACATGGGTCACAGGACTTCCTACCTGGCCCTTCACAGGCTTGCCCACAGTTCTCCAGGAACTCTAGACATGTCTTCCTGATGTCTAACCCTGATACTTCTTGCTGCTGCATGGGCTGTTTTCCATAGTTGCTGCACTGCCAGCCCGGCCGCCCGCCCTGTGTGACTTATCTCCACATCCCATCCACCCTCCACTCCCCCATCCCTTGGTGACTCATCCCCAAGCTTCCCAAGGAAGCCCCCACCCTCTGCCCTTTCCTCCCCTCTTCCATGAGTGGAAAATCCACCCCCCATAGCCGGCCAGCCCCTTCCTCCTGTCTCTATTACCCCATCCCCCCATCGGTTAGCTTCCTCTCCAGGACCAGGGAGCAATCACAGATGCCCTGACCTTGGCTTCCTTTGCCTGGTGAGATTGGGAGGCTGAGCCCCCAAAACAGACCCGTGGCTTCCCCCTTCTCCTGAGCACGGGGACAGAGAGGCCCAGGCCCGGGACCCAGGGTCTGACTTCCTCTCGTCCCGGAATGAGCATGCCTACCCTTTGCAGGCAGGTTTGGGTCTCTCACGCAGAGGAAACCAAAAGCAGTGAGAGGGAGGGAAGGCAGAGCGGCCAATCAGGGGCAGGGTGAGGCTCAAAACCAGCAGGCTCCCCAGGGAACCCCACCGAGGCCCGAGCCATGGCGGAGCTGCAGCAGCTGCAGGAGTTTGACATCCCCACGGGCCGGGAGGCTCTTCGGGGCAACCACAGCGCCCTGCTGCGGGTGGCCAACTACTGCGAGGACAACTACGAGCAGGTAAGTGGAAGGAGCACACACCAATGCACCCCTGGACGGGGCTTGCCGCCCAGTCCCACTGGCAGGGTCATCTGACAGGTGTCTGTCCTTGCCTTGGCTGAGCAGTCTTCAGGCATCAGCTTCATCCCCGTTTCCCAAGCGCAGCCACTGCACTTGGTCTCTCTGACACCACCTCGGCGGTAGAAGATGTGTACACATCACGGTATATACACTCTGCTCTCCCACCTTGCTCCTCGACTCTTACAAAGACCTACAAGACCCTTTCCTCTCACAGGTGCCGGGACCATCTGCAGGCTGGCTTTAGTGGAGTCGCAGGAAACTTCACACACACACACACACACACACACACACACACACACACACACACACACGAGTTTGTTCCTCGATGTTTGAGGGGGAACAGAGGAGAGTCAGAGCAGGTCAGAATGAGGGAAGAGATCTGGTGCAGAGGCAGGGGACTTACAGTCTGACTGCTGAGAAGTGAGGACGGAGGGAGGCGCCACAGAGCAGTCTAAAATTTTTATTTAGCTGGGGTTTTTGAGACAGGGTTTCACTGCATGGCCCAGGCTGTTCTTCAATTCTCTGTAGCTCAGGCTAGCCCTCTCAGTCGTCCCTCGGCACTGGGTTTACAGGCTCCCACCACCTCACCTGGCTGTTGTTTGTGCCTTGTCATTTTGTTCCGGTTGCATTGCGAAGGGCGCCCAGGGCAGTCTGGGAAGTGCTTTTCTGCTGAGCTAAGCCCCAGTCCACCCTGAAGTAGCCTTGCTGATCTCCTGCTGGCTCCATTGCATTGGTTCCTGGGGAAGGAACAGGGGCAGGGGACTGAGTAACTGCCCACCTGTTTTCAGTCCGTCCTCAGAGCCACCTTGTGAGACAACGGCTAGAATTCTGGGTTTAGAATGTGAAAAGAGCCACTCACGGAGGGAAGTGACTTGTCTAGGGTCACCCGGTTGGAGACTAGCAGAGCCAAGCGTGGCCTCCCTGCCTGCTCACCTGAACTCTTTTCTCTCCATTCTTCTGCCTGTCTGATATAGTGTGTGACTTGGGACACTTTGTCTGCACTCTTTGACCTTGGTTTCCTCTGCTCTAGTAAGAGTGGGGCGGTGGTGGCACACGCCTTTAATCCCAGCACTCGGGAGGCAGAGACAGGCGGATCTCTGTGAGTTTGAGACCAGCCTGGTCTACAAGAGCTAGTTCCAGGACAGGCTCCAAAACCACAGAGAAACCCTGTCTCGAAAAACCAAAAAAAAAGAAAAAGAAAAAAAAAGAGTGGCAGGCTAGGTCTGTGACCTCTTACTGCTGGCCAAACTGTGAGACAACACGAGGGGCCTCATCCTACAGTAGGGGGGCTGGGAAGAAAAAGGGAGCAAGCGCCTGTGGGAAATGGCAGATGGGGAAGAGGCAATGGTAACTAAGTTTTCTCCATACCTCCCACAGCCTCTTTCTGTCCCTGCCCCAGTCCTGTGAGGGGATCACCAGTCCCCCTTCACAACGAGGAAGCTGAGGTTTGGAAAGGGTTAAACTGTATTTCCAGAAGCCTCCAAGATAGTCAATGGGACAGGATTCAAACTCAGAATTGTAGTTGGCTGTGGTGCCCTACCTGTGATCTCAGCACTTGGGCGGCTACGGCAGGGGATCTCCAAAGCGTAAGACCTGCCTTATAATTTCTACATAAGTGAGTCCAAGCTGATCAGGATGACAGAGCAAGACGCTACCTCAAGGAGATCACATCAACAAATCAGAACCCCAAACAAAAAAGCAGCCAGGAGTCTAACTCAGAGTCCAGTTGCTAACCCTTCTGTGTCATTCTGGTGTGTGTGACGCTGAGTGACCCGCCTGTAGATGAGGTGGCATGTGGTTTCTAAACCAGCTTCCCCCCCCCCCAGCACTCAGGAATGCTCCCCTGGCAGGGATGCTGCTTCTGGTGGGTCCAGTCCCAGGTGTACAATTGGTGTGTACATAGGATCTGATGCCACAAGGCTGAGTCCTTGGTCTTCCACCTATTGACTTAGGAATCTATGATGAGTTCCCCGTTGGTCTCTCTCTCTTTTTTCCCTTTCTTTCTCTCCTTCCTTCTCTCCTTCCCTTCTCTCTCTTTCTTTTTTCTTTCCTTCCTTTCTTTCGTCTTTTTTCCCTTCCTTCCATCCTTCCCTCCCTCCTTCCTTCTCTTCCTCCCTTCTCTCTCTTTTTCTTTCTTTTTTCTTCCCTCCCTCCCTCCTTCTTTTTTCCCTCCCTCCCTCCCTCCCTCCCTCCTTCCTTCTTTTTTCCCTCCCTCCCTTCCCCCCTCCCCCCCTCTTTTTTTTCTCCCCCCCCCCCCCCCCCCCCCCCCCCCCCCCCCCCCCCCCCCCCTCCTCTTCTCTCTCTTTTTTCCCTTTCTTTCTCTCCTTCCTTCTCTCCTTCCCTTCTCTCTCCTTCTTTTTTCCCTCCCTCCCTCCCTCCCTCCCTCCCTCCCTCCCTCCTTCCTTCCCTTCTTTCTTCCTGTTCTGCTGTTTCACTCTATAGCTCAGGCTGGCCTTGAATTCAGGACGCCTGCTGCAGCCCCAGAAGACTGGGATTACAGGCCTGTGCCACCATTTGGGGGTGGGTGGAGTTGCTTCTCCAGGGTGGGTTACAAGTATCACCTGGAAAGAGGTCCTGAAGCATTTGCCAAGGGCCCTTCACCCTGTAAGGAGGGTGGGATGAATGCAGTGGTTCTTGCTGCTATTACCATTTCAGTAGTGACGGAACCCACTCTATGGAGGGGACAGCCTTTGCAAACACACTCAACATATCAGAAGCCCTGATCTGGGTTGGAATCCCTGGATTCCTTTGTGCAGAGCTTTGGCTCCCAGACCACACAATCAATGACCATCCCTGCCTGTCTACAGAAGAAAGCTTTGGGTGCTGTCTTCAATAAGGTCTCCATCCCATCCTTCCCCCACTAACCAGATGTCAGAAGTCCGTGGGGAATAGCAGCAGGCAGATGAGTGTAGGGTTCTCAGTCAGGGTTGACTGAGTGTATAATAGGGTCGTTTGCATAACAAACGCTCAGCTTAGATAAAAGATCCCTGATCCTTGCTCCTCCAGCCCTAACTGTGAGCCAAGATCAAAGCTAGGTTAGAAACATCTGGGCTGGAGGTACCCAGAGCTGGACCCAGACAGACACTTCTTGTTTGGGTCGCTAAGTCCTTGTGCTGTGCTGGGGAGGGAACTTTCCAGGAGCAGAGGAGCCCTTTCTTCTCACCCTTTAAACAAAGATCTAGAACAAAGCCTGTAATCCTTTCTAGCTTCTTTGCCTGTTCAAGGCTTTGGGTGACATATGCTGATGAAATGTAAATGTTATTGCATATGCAGATGACATGCAAATTGGCACACAAATGAACATCGGTTTCCCGCTGTCAGAACAGAAAAGTGGGGAGGGGAGGACCATGGCATGGGTTTTCCAGAAGGTTCTAGTTCAGGCTACAGGAGAGGACTCCAGAGCTCACTGAGGACACAGCTCTGGTAGTTCTGGTGAGAGGGCCTGTGGCATACACAAAGTTCCAAGCCAGGAGGCCATAGGGTGTGCCTCCTTGCCTGTCCCTGTGGGTACACTGCCTCTTCTGATTACCTCATCTCTGCCCGCCCCTCACCCCTGAAAGGGACAGACTTTACAGCAGCAAGCTCATGATCAATGGGGAAGGAGGAAGCTGTTTGGGGAACCAAGAGAACCAAGAAGGTTTATCCAGCCCACCCAAGTCTGGTCTGGAACCAAAAAAAGGTCTTGTCTTTAGCCACTCTCTGGCTACCTCTTTCCCACCGGCTGGCAGTGTGACACCGGCCAGTGTCTGGCGTATAATAAGAAACCGCTCAGCTAGCGTTGGCTTCCCCTTCCACCTGCCAGTCAACAAACGTGTAGCGTATTTATTTACTATCTCCTGTGTGCTGGGGACTGTGTCAGCAGAGACCGCAGGATGGAATGAGCCAGCTTTTTGGTTTTCAGGGTGCTATCTGCCTGGGGGCGTGGTGAAGGGAGAAAAAAAAAAGAACTGGGCAAGTATGATAAGAAAGGTGAGCTGGGTACAAGTTTAGGGTGGCGAGAAGAGTGGAGAAGCTGGGATCATCTCGTGAAAAGAACACTGAGAAGTACAAGCACCGCTGGGCGGTGGTGGCACACACCTTTAATCCCAGCACTCGGGAGGCAGAGGCAGGTGGATCTCTGTGAGTTCGAGGCCAGCCTGGTCTACAAGAGCTAGTTCCAGGACAGGCTCCAAAGCTACAGAGAAACCCTGTCTCAAAAAAACAACAACAACAACAAAAAGCACAAAACAAGCAAACAAACAAACAAATGCCCCCGAGGTAGGAACGATAATTCTAGCATTTTGGAGACAGAGACAGGAGAATCAGGAGTTTGAGGCCAATCTTGGTTGCACAGAGAGTTTGAGGCCTATACTAACTACATGAAACCCTGTCACAAAAGAAAAAAAAAAAGAAAGAAAAGAATCATATTAGAAAGCTGTCGGAGGGAAGGAGAGAATGCCTTCATTTGGTTCTGGAGTCCTTAACTAAGTTTCCACACATCTGCCTGCGGATTGGGGCTGAAAAGTTCAGGGTCAGCTAGGGGCTGCGAGACTCCTAGACTCACTCCAAGGAGACTGGTTTTCAGGTTTAGGGTAAGGGTGTGATGTTAGTTGGTAGGTTTTTAAATTTAGTTATGACTCCTCAGGCCAGCATCACCTCCCCCTTTCCTCTCTGCTCCTCACCATCCAGCCTGCAAAGAGGCACTTGCTGAGGTAGGCAGTAGGGTCCCGGCCTCTCAACTCAGGCCTCACCTCAACTCTTGGAGGAGAGGACTCCTCCCCCATCCCTACAGCCAGTTCTCTCAGGCTCCAGACTCCTTTTCCTGATGCCCCTTACAGCAACATCATCCTTCCAGAAGCTACCTCAAGCGTCTGAGAACCGCAGCAATTCTCCAAGCTGAGCTCTCACCTTAGACTCTCTTCTGGTCCCATCAGACCTTACCTCGGAAGCAGTGGAATGTGCTGGCCTCAGGCCAAGGCTGTGTGTATTTCAGGCTACAGACAAGCGGAAGGCACTAGAAGAGACCATGGCTTTCACCACCCAGGCCCTGGCCAGTGTGGCCTACCAAGTGGGTAATCTGGCTGGGCACACTCTGCGAATGCTGGACCTTCAGGGTGCTTCCCTGCGGCAGGTAGAGGCCAAGATCAGCACACTGAGCCAGGTAAGGGTCTGGAAAGGGATTCCCCTTTCAGCCCCAGCTCTTCGGTCCCACTCAAATATTCTCTACAAGAAAAGTCTCTTGCTTTTCTCCAGAGACATATACCACCAACTTGACTATAGAATGTTGGCAGTGTCTGAACTCTGGAGACCTCTGTCACGGCTGTGCCTTAGTGGGGTCCTTGCTACCCCATTAGGTGCAAAGTTCTCTGAAAGCAGACCCCCCCATATTGTCCTTGATATCTAAAAGCTTTATCTGCTGCTCACAGTACCTGCAGGGAGCAGGAGAGGCTAAAGGCCATCATCCTGTTTTCATTGAAACATAGGCAGTGATTACTAAGTGTCCTGCACTCAGGCTAGGCAAGCCCATCTTCAGTCCCAGGGAGTCCCTGCCCTTGGCTCATAAATACTCTCAGCCTTCCTTCCTGGATTCTTGACCCCACAAGGCACATGCATTAGCCAAATTATGCTTTTGGTCTGACCACAGGTCCCCAAGGGGCAAGTGTATGGGGTGTGTCTTCCTCTTCCTCCTGAAGACCCAAGGTCCCATCCCTCAAGGCCTGAGGGAACATTCCAAGAGGAAGCTAATTCGCACATTTGTCCCCTAAAGGGGAGAGCTGATTAAGTTACAGGTCTCTGCCACCTCCACGCTAGGCCCCCCTGCTCCAAAGGCTGCCCTGTCCTTCAATCCCTTCCCAGCATCCCCAGGGATGTTGTTTTTCCCTTTTCTTCTGTTTCCTGCACAGCTAATAATAGCCCTCATTCTCTTCTACCAGGAAGTTGCTCCCAAGTGGCTCCATCCTCTGCTACTCTTTTCCCAATTGCTGTATGGCCACAGGGACAAAACTGGCTTTCTCTAGGTTTCCCTACTTCCCCTGGTCCCCATTCATTCCTCCTCCCTTCTTTATTTTGAGACAGGGTCTCAACTATGTAGTCCCAGCTGGCCTAGAACTTAGAACTCATCATATAGACCGAGCTGATCTTGAACTCACAGAGCTCTATCTGCCTCTGCCTCCTGAGTGCAAGGTGTCTCCCTCTCTTAAAGGGGGTGGTGCTGGGCAGGCTGCCCCTCACTGTCGCCTCCCAACCCTGTCATGCAGATGGTGAACATGCATATGGAAAAGGTGGCCAGAAGGGAGATTGGCACCTTAGCCACTGTCATGCGGCTGCCCCCTAGCCAGAAGGTCATCCCTCCTGAGAGCCTACCGCCCCTCACCCCCTACTACAGAAAACCCCTCAACTTCAGCTGTTTGGATGACATTGGCCATGGCGTTAAGGTAAGGGGAACTTTGCTCTTCCCCACTGTCCACCCTCTCCTGCCATGGGACTCCCTCCTGGCTTCTTTCTGAGCTCTTGGCTCCTGTGTTATTTCACAACCCCTTCCTTTTTCCAGCTTCCATTTGGCCAGGAGTCACGGCCTAAGCTCCTCACCCTCCCAAGGTCCCTAGCTGCCCTCCTCCCTGTAGTCACTCAGCTTGCAAAGATCATGAGCTGTCCCTGCCCCCCACCCAAGGGTACTGGGTGTGTGTGAGAAGGGGAAGAGGGGGAAGGGAGGGTGTCAGGACATGCATGAGAACCACTTCTCAGCCACATGAGAACAGCAACTTCCTCTGTCTGGGGGTTTGAGGTCATGACTCTAAGAAGTCACCCCAGAATGCTGGCGGTAGGGGCAGGAGGCAGCAACAGAAAGCCGGCTTGGCGGAGGGGACACATCTCATTGTCACCACTGCCACCTATCAGATTAGATTAGAAACTTTCCTGGGTCTTAACCTCTTGATATGATGGCAGCCCCTGGAAGGGAGAATAAAGAATACGTTCCTTCAGTTCCCATGGCCCGGGAATTCTTTCTGCTGTCCAACATCCTTCTTTTTCTTTTTTTCTTTCGATGGTACTGTGGATGGAACCCAGGTCTGCTATAAGCCCAGCATAAGCTCCACCCTGAACTGTATGCCCAGCCTCCACCCTATCCT